GTAATTATCAATTAAACTTCTTAAAATTGAAGTTTTAATTCCATTTTAATACCACTGGGAAAAATAATAATGGAAGGGATAAGTTGGCAGGTATGAGAATAGATTAACTCCTCCCGAATATTATCTAATATTGAAATAGCTCTTCTACCAGTATTTTCACTTTTCCCGGCGTGAACGTGTTAATCTGATAGTGCAAGAAAATAATTCTCCGACTTTAAACTTCGTTATATATTATTGAAATAAAAACTCATAAAATATTCCGATTGGAAGATTACAATTTTTAAAACATTTGTTGAATTACACGTCGTTTATTTAAGTATAACATATGAAAGAATCAGGGGTGAAAGCGAGACGGAAAAGAGGAAAGGCTGGTAGTAAAACCATTTCAGTTATAGCTAGTTTTCAGGACGAGTTTAAATATTCTTTTCTTAAACTATTTATCAATATCTACTTAATCTAGGAAAAGAAGCAGAGATGCCAACTTGCTCCGGACAGCAAATATGTATTTTAAAGTGGTAGTTTATCAATTGTGATTCTTGGTTTAATAAATTCAATTTAGTAGATTTTTATCCACCACTATTTCTAAATAATTCGTAATCTCATATAATTCACCACTTTAGAGTAATTATGTCATGTTATACCTTTTAAAATGCAAGCAAAAATGGCCAAATATTTGCAAACTTCACTTGTAGTTATTTACCCTTTTTTTAATTATTTTGGCGTGTCTGGAGCAGTTGGCATCTCTGAAGAAGTAGTTTTATATATATGCTAAAATTATAAAAGAAATCTTGATAGTTACAGATATTTTATTTTTCTCAAAAAAAATGCTTTTAGGAAATGTCTTTGGTACCAGTTTTTGCTCTTTTCCGTCTTGCTATATAAGGGCTTTCAGCTATGGATAGAATACCTAACATATCTTAAATAAACAGCGGTGTGAATTGCGCAAACTATTTAAAATAGACAGTCATTTTTCCATTATAGCATATACAATTTTCTTGTATTATCTAGCAATTTATAAATAAAATATAGCTTGCTCAGCATGCTAGATGTAAATCTTTACCCTGTAAGTGTGTAGGAGCTCAAAATACAGGGGTTGATCGAAATAATGGAAACATTCTATACTAGCTCTAAGTAATAAATTTTTCTTTCAGCAGCAAATGTTTTGGCAAAACTGTTGGCTCAATTTGAAAAATCATGCTCGAAGCTTTTAAAAATGATGACATTTTTACTCATGCAAAAGTGTATAACTTATAAATATAATTCTTGAGAATTTTTCGTAATTAGCAATTTTTGTAATTCTTTTTTTTTTCTGTGCGAAACTAAATGACATTGACTTATGGAGCTATCTTGTTTCTACTACATAAATTCTAATAAAGAAATCTTGAGGTACCACTCTTTATCTTTTTTACAAAAAGGAATCGTACCATTAAAACAGGGGGAGGAAAAAATCAAAGAAAGTGGTTAAGAAATATTGAAGAAACAAATTGTTAAAACTGTTATCTATCAATCAAAATATAGTTGTAAATTAAAGGGAATATATGTTGAAAATGCCTAAATTAATTCCTAATATTAAAGTAAAATTAAAATCCTTAGAAATTTCATGCTTTTTTTGTCACCACTTTTTAAATTTTTCCGGGTAGTGTCCACCCCACAAAAAGATGCTTGGCACAAATAAGTTAAACCCCTACTTTGTGTGCTCGAGTTAATTCGAGCGCGCTAAACAGGTCAAACTGTGCACACTCGAGATATTTCGAGCGGCGTTGTATTTTATGCTGCTATAATTTTTCACACTCGAATATAATCGAGAATTGAAAATAACAATGTGGAAAAAAAATCGTTTTATTGATATTTATCATTTACATAGGATTGGGAGCTATAACACTTATTTATTCAAGAATAAAATATACAGAGATGCCAACTTGCTACGGACAGCAAATATACATTTTCAAGTGGTAGTTTATCAATTGTGATTCTGGGTTTAATAAATTCGATTTAGTAGATTTTTGTCCACCACTACTTCTAAATAATTCGTAGGCTTATATAATTCACCACCTAATAATAATAATGTTATGCTAAACCTTTTAACTAGAAAGCAAAGATAGTCAAATATTTGGAAATTTTACTTTTTAGTTATCTATCGTTTTTTTAAAAAATACTTTGGCGTGTCCGGAGCAGATGGCATCTCTGAATATAGCCTTTTTCCATGGAACAAAAGCGCAGTATATCAAAATTGTCCACCAAAAGAAAAGACAATGTTCGAAAGTGTGTTTTTTTCACATTAAAAAAAAGTGACTTTTTTTTGGCCGTTTTTTTTCCAAAAAATCTGTGAGTTAAAGGGTTAAACATAATACAAACTCTGTACACCTTCTTTTATCAGTAAAACTATTTAAAAAAATCAGTCAACAAGCCTGGAAAGAACAGCCAGATTCGAACTATCTATAAAACTAATTAAAAACTATTTTACCGAACTATTCAAAAAATGCTTCGATTTATTTTGTACTTCAATTGCTGAAATTTGAATTATTTAACCTGGATTGACTGATTATAGAAATTTTGTAGGTAGTTTTTAAATTTAAACGAAAAGGAATAATATACTTTAAATTTAAGTTGTTTATCTGTAAACAGTATGAGGAATATCGGAGCCATTACAATTAAATTGACATTCAATTACAGAAGCCAAGGATCCAATTTAATCCGAGAGCATTGATTTACAAGAATCGATGAGTGTTTAGGAGAGGTCAAACTGTGACAAGGCGTAGGACGAACGCCTACAAGGAATTAAACAAAAGTTGAGTTTCGGCGGCACCGATCTTCTGACAGAACCGGTTCATTAAGAAACAAAGCACATTACCTTATATAGAAAA